GTGATCTGACAAAAGTATATCCCCATGCAGTTCACATAGAGTATAAGATTCCAGCCTTTGGCATATTCCACTTAAGTACATGATGGCTGGACAGTTTCCCATGATGAACTTAACCATGGTTTGCTCAATCTAGTTTTTTTTTTTTAGATTTTTTTATCCCACCTTTATTATTTTTATAAATAACTCAAGGTGGTGAACATATCTAATATTCCTTCCTGCTCCTATTTTTCCCACAACCACAACTCTGTGAGTTGATTGGCCTCAGAAAGAGGGACTGGCCCAAAATCACCCAGCCAGCTTTCAGGCCTAAGCCAGGACTAGAATTCAGAGTCTCCTGATCTCTAGCCTGTTGTCTTTGCCACTAGACCAGACTGGGTCTAGTTTTCTAGATTTCTACATCATTACACACTAGACTAAAATGGGATTGGGAAGGTCATGCTTGGTGTACAGTAGGAAACCAAATATTGTCTTAGCATGTGCAAACAAGGCCATCCACTTATGCCATCGCCTAGTTTGTTTGGGTATATGTTATGTGAACATAGCAACAGTGGGTCTAGATTAAGTGTGTGAACCCAACAACAAAGCTGCTATTCGCAGTCTGGGTTCTTATAAATAGGCTAGAACATGGTCAATTATTGTGGAAATCCAGCCACAGTTGTACTGGTCAATGACCAAAATAAATCCAGCCACAAATGTCCTTCAGATGCATTGGGCTACAACTCACATTATCCCAACTAGTACAATCTAAGATGTGAGTTGAACTCCTATGCATCTAAGGTTGTAAATCCAAGTAAAACATCTCTTATAACAGAATAATTGTTGTTTTAGAAAAACTACATCATGCAGAGACATCTTTTGCCCATCTTCAGCTTTCTTCATCAATCTCCATTGTAATTAGGACTTCTTCTGTAGTTGAAGGCAGATCCAAAAAAGCAGGAGGCAGGTTTGAGCAATCAGCGTAGTCCCTCTGCCTCTCTATCTCATTGGCTCTTGTTCTGGGGCCAAAGGCAGGGACCACACATTCTTTCAGAATAACTTGATAGGTCAGATGTCCTGAGCCTGTAAGCTCTTTGTCTGAAATGACATCCCAGCCTAGACGTGTCATCAGAACAGGACTGGGGCACATATCCAAGGAGTGCATATAACGGAATGAACAGGGGGCACAGAGTAATTTAGATTGCCAAGAGGGCTTCGCACCCCATTTATTCATTGAGTCCAGAGGCTGAAATCAATTCTGTGCACCATTCTTCCAACTTAGGTCCACTACTTCAATAAATCTTCTTCCATCTGAAAGATACTTTGGTCTGAAAATTTTTAAACTTATCTAGTTTAAGGAACCCCAAGAAGGGTGAACAATGGGGAGGAATTTGCAATATCTATTTTTTGATTTTGTGCAACTTTTTTGTCATCTAGCTATTAATCAATATAGATAGGTACAGTTATTATATCTGTATCTCTTTGTGGATGTGTCTCTTTCTATGTGTTGTATCAATCCAATTTTCTAGACTCCTACAACCCACTGAGCAATACATGGCTGGGTTTGCACATTGCATTAAACTAAACTATGGCTGATTAGTCTGTGATTTTGTATATGGTGCACACACACCCATCTAGTGCAAATTTCATTCTTTGTTATTGTTGAGGCACTTCCTTCTCTTGCAACAAAGGACACCCTGTCCAGTGACTTAACAGACCATTGCCATATTATGCAACGTAGATGAGATACTCATAGCTTTTGCTTGCATTGCCTAGGGGGAGAATTTGAACCCTCTCAACAAATGTTCAAAGGCAAATCCTTCATCATGCAGTAAGTATTTTGCATAAAGGTACCCAGTATGCAGGAAAGAAATACCATAAGGTTTCCTTATCTTTTCTAAACTTGCTCTCCTAGCTTTGCACCTATCCTGTAATATTCAAAACTGTGCATCTTTCATACGTTAGGGTTGAAAAGTTTAACTGCTGTTATAAGCTGTGTAGTCTGATGTTAGCAGAAAAAATAAACTGGGGTAGGAATCAGCAATTCAAGCAGTGAGAAATATTTGGGGTGGGGAGAATCCATTGCTATTCCTTTCTTGTTCGCAGGGTTCACCCCACTATCTCAGATACAGACCTGTAAACAGATTATTCATAATCCTCATGATGTAGCATCATCTAAGGTAGCATCTAAGTCTAGACAACATTTCATGTATGCTACTGCAGTAATACTAAAAAAGAACTCTTGATAGCATGGTTAGCACACTCACTTTTCATACTGAGATGAGGCAAGACCCCAATAAGCTGTCTAAGAACTCTGGGCAGGAGGCAAAATGAACATCGTAATTTGAATCAGGAACTTGATTTACAGCAATTATCTTCCTCCTTTGGAAGAAATGGACCAGCTCCCCCACCAGCTTAGAACTCTATTCCTAAGTTTGGGAAGACTTCAAAATTGTAGGATTTGCCCTGGAACCCACAGAGCCATCAACTATCGCAAAAGATACACACTGAGAAGCAACATCTCCTGAGGTCTGAATTCTTTGAGGAGTACCAGAAGTGAGATGAGCACACAATGGAGATACCCAAGCTGCAAGCTACCTGAAGCCACTCAAGAGTGGGCAAAATGCAAACACATACATAGAACAAACACATTTGAGGGGGGAGAAATGGCTGTCACTGTCATTTGTCTGTAATTCTTGTCCACCCAGAGATTTCTCAGAAGAACTGGATCTCCATCCCCTGTCCTCCACACCCTCTCTTCCCATGCTCAACTCTGTTTGCGAATGAAGCGATTAACAAAGACACTTCCCTTCCAAAAGGGAGGGTCACAGTGAGCATAAAAGAACACATTGCTTATTAAGCTAGAATTAACTGCCCTCCTAGGAGCTAATTAAATTTGTTCTTGGAACCCAGGGTTTTTTGAGGAAGGGGGGAAAGACAGAAAAATCCATCCTATTTTAACCATATAGCAGCCATGCCCATGTTACTCCTGCAAATAGACATTGGTGATTCATGCCCAATGATTATTTTGATTTATCCATGAATGATTCTGCTTGAGATCTGAGCTGTATCCTTCAGGCAACAAAACAGAACAGTACAGTAGGAAGGATAGTCAGACCTATTTATTTCTCCATCCCCCCACTCCCCCAAGATGTCCATTTATTTATTTATTCCACTGGTTTTATTTCACATTATGTTTTGAATACAATCAAAAGTATTTGTTTAAATTGTACCTTGATAATAAAAGTAGTTATTTTCTCTAGAGTGCTGCAAAATTATAGCATTTACGTCTTTGAAATACTTTAAACAAAATAATACTAGCAATTAATGAACACTAGCATTGTAGGTATATCATGTAAGGATTTTCTTTTCTTTTTAATAAGACAGCTGTAGAAAATGGGATTTGACGGAGAGATTGTATACTATAATACAGGATACAGAGGGCAAATTGGTCAACTGGGACCGCTTAAGGTAAGAAAAGGGGCTTTCCCTCATTCTCCCTCCACTTCAGAACTTATTCAGTCCAACAATGTTTGCAAATTGAAGATACAAGTCCCTAAAATTGACCTGGTTCTCTTACCCCACCCGCTTCTCTGTTCTCCCTTTCCTGAAAACACCACACAAAATAATGGGAAGAGACAGAACAAAGGCAGAGATCAAATACAGTTAAATCGAAGTGTTTACACTGCTAGTGCCTAAACTTTTTCACTTCATTTAACATTCCGAAGAAACTGGAATTTGTCACTGTTGAAGTCTTAGGTTGGGTCTTCCACTTTCCCCGTGCACACCGTGCTGTCCTGCTTATTTATTTATTTTGGCCTGTTGTAGTTTCCTTCATGTATCTTTTTCTTTCTAGGTTTGGCTCTGATTGCATCCACTGGGCCATGTTTCTCATTTGAGGGGGGGGAAATGATAAAATTAAAAGGCCATTTAAAGAGACTAATTGGTCAATATTCACACCCTTGTCTTTGAGATTAATTAAGAAAAGTTCCATCTACTTTCAGTAGCTGGGCCACACATTAACTAGAGGAAAAAAGAACCAAGCGTCAACACGTCAAGCAGCTGGTAAATTTCACATTCACTCCAATTTACATAGCAATAGGGCAGATCGGAATGTGGCTAGAATAGTTAATCTTTATCCATACATACATAAATACGTACATGTATATATGCATGTCTGCGTGTATTCTGGTTTGCTTGCTAGCACTCACCAAAGTTTGCATGACATTTCTTACCATGGCACCATATACTCAAAAATACTTTTTTTCTTTAAAGTTAAACTCAGGGAGAGAGTAAAAAATGTGTGTGTGTGTGTGTGTGTGTGTATTGGTAGAAACAAGCCCAGATTGGTCGTACAAGGATAGTGTAAAGTAAAGCATACTGGGGGAGGGGGGTTGCAAGGTCAAAAGACACATTTGAAAGTGAGGAAATGATTGGTACAACATCACCAGATAAATGTAGAGGACACTAATGTAGTTTGCAAAGAAAAGAGCAACGTTAGTGAAGGGTGTCCAAGGGGAGCATCTTCTGACTGCTGTCCGCACGGTTACGGAGATCTTCCACGCAACGTACACAAACCTCAGTCAGAGTTTTAAACTTCTGCAATAGGTAGATCTTATCCAGAAGTACGCCGTTCAAAGTTCCTTCAGTTCAGGGGTTGGAATTGGTAAGCCCATCTCAAGCTTACCTTTGCTTTGATTCTCCCTGCCTCCTCCTCCTCCTCCTCCTCCTCCT